CTCCCCATGTAGGATCTCTGTCCTTAATGTGTTGTACTTTGTGAATTAACGGCATAACTAGTACTCAAACAGTACTTTATACTTTGTGTTTCTGTGTGGCTGCAAACTTGAAATCTTTACTTAGTGTATACTAAATTGATCTTCTGTATATAAAGATAATTGAAAATGAATCTTGATGTGAATGGGATGGGAGAGGGCGTGGGAGATGGGATGGTTGCGGGTGGGAGGCAGGTTATGGGGGGAAATCCACTATAATCCAAAAGTTGTAGTTTGGAAATTTATAGTTACTAAATAGAAGTTAAAAAAAGAAGATGTGTCACTTCACAAGTAGACTGTTACCAGCAGAAAGTTCATTTCTGCTAGTCTTCTCTGATCCCCATTCCCACTGAGTTCACTCCACTAGTTTTGTTTCACATAGCTTATATGAAGTACTTCATCTCTTCAATCATCTGCATAGTTTTTTTGAGTACTTGGATCATATTTGTCACCCAGTATAAATGAAAATGGAGTTAGCAGAGTCTTCTTCTTTCCATTAATCTTATTAACTTTCACTGATAAACAAGAGAATGAGGGAAATTATTATCTTGTGCTGTGTTTTCAACTAATTTTTGTTTTCCTGATCAAACAGTTGGATGAGTCCTCCACAAGATTAAAAGGAAAAGACTCATTTTCAGCAGAGACACTCTTCAGATTCCCCAGGAAAGTGCAATTGGAGCAATACGTTTGGGAATCTTTTCCATGGAGGTAATGGCTAGCCATAAACATGTCTAAGACATCCAGGAGAATATGGGGAGAGTAATGGGGACAAATATAGTTTACAAATAAGAGAGAATCCTGGTGATCCAATGACAATAAATTGATGTGAAAATGATCATCAAGTGACAAATCTGATGAGGTACATATTAAAAAGCAGTCATGCAATTTGGTCATCATTAAAAGTTTTAGTAACATACTGTTGCAATCAATTTCTACTTTTAAGAAAACTCAATGTCAGTTTCATATGCCACTCTTATTTCTTTATTCACTACAAAATGTTTTTTGTGTCCCCTACTTTTTTCAGTTACAAACACAAGTCAATAATTCAGAGGACAATTGGAGTTTCCTCAGAACTGTTCAAATTTTCAGAATTGAGAATACAAAAGGATAACTTGACAAATCAGGAACACAAAATACTTCTCTCCTTTTGATTGATATAACACATCTGCAAGCCTTCACCCAATCTTCGGAATAGATTCCCATTTCAAACAAAGGAAACAGAAGAATCTTATTCCTCCACCAAAGAGACTCAAAGGAAGAGATTCTTCTCCTAAAATATATGGTCCTTATATTATCCAGCAACTTGTATGATTGAACATGTTAATCAAATACTTAAATGAGAGCAACTCTTTATGAACCTTGAGAAAAAAGAATCAAGATTGTTAAGGGATATCTATGAGCAATTCATTAACATGTTCAGTGGAAAAGTCAAACTTCGGATGTGTGGACTCTAAAGAAACAGTTCATCTCTCAACAAAATACTGATATAGCAAAGATAAAGAAGGCATGTCAAAACGTGAAACTGTTTTTGTATATTAGCTTCTGATTTCTAAAATTCCATTAAAGTAGTTTATTTAACAAGATTCTGGCTGTAGAAAATTGGCAAAAGTTTACTCTGAATATGCAATTATTTTCTTCCTATCACATTTGTACCCTTAGGGAGATGCTGTCAAACCTGCTGACTGAAGGAATGCTCCCTCAGCCAAGGAAACTGGAATTTTGATGAGTATTTTTGAATGCTGGTAAATTGTTTACAGTATTAGAGATGTAAATAGCTTACCTCTCAGAAATATGCATTACCCCCTGCACAAATTAGGTTGTGTAGTTTCATTTTCTTTCACTTCCAATTCTTAACTTTGTTTCTATTTGTTCATGAAAATGTAATAAGCTGCATTTTTCCATCTTATTATGTAAACTTGCATACATCTGTGGAAGTAGAGACAAAAACACAATGATCTAAGATTTACCTTCAAATTAAATTCCTACATTTTTGTTTCCTATGTACCCCTACTCAGTTTGCCCTTGTTGGATGCACTATATTTTATGTAACCAAGCCACTATTTTTTTTAGAGTACATTGTGACATTTATTATTTTCTTTGGGCTTCCAGAGCAACCTTAAATTTTATATTACAATTTAATAATGTTTTTAACTTCTATTTAATAACTATAAATTTCCAAACTACAACTTTTGGATTATAGTGGATTTCCCCCCATAACCTGCCTCCCACCCGCAACCATCCCATCTCCCACGCCCTCTCCCATCCCATTCACATCAAGATTCATTTTCAATTATCTTTATATACAGAAGATCAATTTAGTATACACTAAGTAAAGATTTCAAGTTTGCAGCCACACAGAAACACAAAGTATAAAGTACTGTTTGAGTACTAGTTATGCCGTTAATTCACAAAGTACAACACATTAAGGACAGAGATCCTACATGGGGAGTAAGTGCACAGTGACTCCTGTTGTCGATTTAACAATTGACACTCTTATTTGTTACGTCAGTAATCACCCGGAGGCTCTTGTCATGAGCTGCCAAGGCTATGGAAGCCTCTTGAGTTTGCCAACTCCGATCTTATTAGTCAAGACCATAGTCAAAGTGGAAGTTCTCTCCTCCCTTCAGAGAAAGGTACCTTCTTCTTTGATGGCCTGTTCTTTCCACTGGGATCTCACTCACACAAATCTTTCATTTAGGTCATTATTTTTTTTTGCCACAGTGTCTTGGCTTTCCATGCCTGAAATACTCTCATGAGCTTTTTAGCTAGACCCGAATGCCTTAAGGGCTGATTCTGAGGCCAGAGTGCTATTTAGGACATCTGCCATTCTATGAGTCTGCTGTGTATTCTGCTTCCCATGTTGGATCATTCTCTCCTTTTTGATTCTATCAGTTAGTATTAGCAGACACTAGTCTTGTTTGTGTGAACCCCTTGGTTCTTGGTCCTATCATTATGATCAATTATGAACTGAACCTGATCACGTTGACTAGTGAGATGGCATTGGTACATGCCCCCTTGATGGAATTGAATTGGAATGCCCTGGCACCTTTGTAACTCTACCATTAGGGGCACATCAGATTGAGCATGTGCCCAACTGTACATCTCCTCCCTCTCTTATTCCAACTCTTATATTTAACAGGGCTCACTTTTCAGCTAAATTTAAACACCTAAGAATAATTGTGTGTTAATTAAAGAGATCAACCAATGGTATTAATTGGAGCAAAAAGATACTAAAAGGAATAAAGTAGTAAGTTGTTCCTAGACAGAGAAAAGCTCAGGACTGGGTGGATTCACTGTTGAATTCTACCAGACATTTAAAGTAGAACTAACTCCAATTCTTCTCAAACTATTCAGAACAATGAAAAAAGAGGGAATCCTCCCAAATTCTTTCTATTAAGCCAGCATCACTTAATTCCTAAACCTGAAAATGATGCAGCACTGAAAGAGAATTACAGACCCATTTTCCTGATGAATGTAGATGCAACAATCCTCAATAAAATTCTGGCCAATAGAATGCAACAATGTATCAGAAAGATCATCTGCCCAGACCAAGTGGGATTTATCCCTGGTATGCAGGGATGGTTCAACATTCACAAATCAATCAATGTGATACACCATATTAACAAACTGCAGAAGAGAAAACATATGATTATCTCAATAGAAGCAGAGAAAGCATTTGTTAAAATATAACACCCTTTCATGATGAAAACTCTAAGCAAATTGGGTATGGAAGGAACATTCCTCAATACATTCAAAGCAATTTATTAAAAAAACTCATAGCCAGCATTCTATCGAATGGGGAAATGTTGGAAGCATTTCCACTGAGATCTGGTTCCAAACAGGGATACCCACTCTCACCACTGCTATTCAATATAGTAATTGAAGTTTTAGCTAGAGCCAATTGGCAAAAAAAAAGAAATTAAAGGGATACAAATCGGGAAGGAAGAAGTAAAACTATCCCTCTTTTCAGATGATATGATTCTTTTTTTAGGGGATCCTAAGAACTCTACAAAGTGACACATCTTTATTTATTGCCTAAAAGCAAGTGCTGCGAAGCTGGAGGAACACAGAGTGAAGTGCACTAGCTGTGCAAAAACAGCAGCCCAAAGAATTTCTACTTCTTTCAGTTGTGTTTTTTTCACAGCTATGAATTGCAGACCTAGCACGTCTTGGTGAAGACCTTAAGTGTAAGCGTGGTTTAATTTCTGACAGGTGAATATCCTTGTGTTTTCTTTATGAGTGATTCTTCACTCCTGACAAGTTTCACTCTAAATTCTGTCCAGTCTTATATTTGGTCCAAGAGAAATTCCCTTGCTTAATGAATTCAGTAAACAGTAACAGGGATACAAGCCTTTTGCTGTGACTGAGGTGTCTTAATTAGGATGAATTCTTTAATTTCAAGATAACAAACTAGCAACTCATATTTAGAAAAGAAAATTGTATAGTTAACATTTTCAATTAGGATTTCTTAAAGTGAGGAGGCATGAATTGCTCACTTAAATCATATCATCCTCAATTGTTTTATAGCTAGTCCTTATTAATTTCATGTATTTCCATTGCTCTTCTTTTTTCGAGATGTATTTGAAAAGCACAGTCATGGAGAAAGAGAGAGAGAGAGAGAGAGGAATACAGAGATATGTTCCATCTGTTTTGGTTTGTTCCACAAATGGTATAATTTCTGGGTCTGGGGGAAAATCAGAAGCCAGAAACTTCATCCTAGACTTTCTTCCACATGGTTGGCAGGCTTTCTGGTACTTGGCAATCGTCTGCTGTCTTCTCAGGTGCATTAAGAGGAAGCTGGATTGGAAGATGAGGAGCTGGAACTTGAACAGACAGTCTGAGCTGATAGCCAGCATCACTGACAGCAGCTTGTCCAGCCATGACATGAAGCTAGGCTCTCCATTAACTTTCTAAACATTAAAAGATGTGGTTTTTTATCTTAGGTTTTGTAAGATAGTCTTGAGAAAGAACAGAACATACAAAATGTTACTATTATACCGAATCATCAGCCTTATTGATTAATCTAATCTGGGGAGCGCTATTTAGCTATTCTTGCTTACATGCAATATAAGCATTTATATCCCATTTCATTGAACATTTACTTGGGACAATCCATATTCTCTAAAGGAAACAATAACTTAAAAATGATTTTATGTCTTTTTTTTTGCCTTGTGCTCATCAAAAACACAAGATCAGATTTCTTTGCTCTGGAATGTGTTGAGAATGTTTCAAAAGCACATTCTTGCTATACAATTTATCATTAAAACTTTTTCCTAGGATAGCTACAATGCTTGTCAGATAAATTCAAGTCATAAAATAGAATCTGATATTTATCAATTAGGACAAAATTTGCTTAGCTCTTATGGTGTATGTAACCTCTTTGCACAGAGATCACTCTTTGCTTTGACAATGTTTTATTTTCTGGAGAGACTGCAGATGAAAAACAGTTTCATTTTAGAACTCAACACATACCAAATTCTTTTTATTTCCTCTAAATTCTGATTGCAAACCAAATAGCTCTTTTTTCTGTAACTAATTTCTTTCAATTCACCCCTTGTCCTATACAACCGAAATAAACCAGTGTGCATGTTTGACATTCTACTTGGAAAATTCCTTAACTAGGTCCAACAGCTCACTAAGTATACATTGTATATTATACTCTAGGGGTAATTTGGCTAAGTTTTATGCCATCACGTAGCATGGGAACCATTGTCTTCCAGCCTACAAAAACATTTTCCTGTCTTTAATTTCTATCAGTTTTCTGAAGACTCCTCTAATTTGTGACTGCTGGTAGTTTCAAAGTCTATTGACTTTTTTAAAGTTTTGTTGACACAATGCTCTGCTTTCAATTATCAAATTCTTTTCTGGAAATCTCTTGCTGATCTCTTGTTAATAATTGTTTCATGCCAAACCAATCTAAACACAGTGGTATCAAACAACAGCCATTTTTTATTATCTCACTGCTTGTAGGTCAGGAATTTGGGCAGTCTTGCCTGAACGATTCTTCTGTTCCATAAAATACCAGCATTGGTCATGTGATAATATTCAACTAGCAGATGTTCTTTCTTGGAGGGTTTGGAACTCAGGGTAAATGAAAGGCTGGGCTCAGGTGGAGCAGTCACAACACTCACATGTGACATCTTCAGCACTGTGGTTTTACATCTTACAGAGCAGCTGAGATGTGGAGAGCATGTGCTCCAGAAAACAAGGTGAGGCTTTGTAACATTTTACTATCTAACTGCAGAAGTCACAAAGCATTATCATCATTACTATTATTTTGCCTTTTGATGTTGGTTGAAGCAGTTAACCGGATTCAAAGTGCAGTCAATAAGAGGATTGTCAAAGCATTTGCACTTTTATGTTAAAAACTGTCATAGTCTGCTACGAGATTTTGGGATTTCACTTAGCTACAAACATTTAAAGTGGGGACAAATGACATGCAACTCCTATATGAAATCATATGATATATGATCTAATTCTGTAATTGAATTAATTT